GCGGAGCCCGGAGTCGACGCCCGGTCGGAGCCGCCGCGCCCCCCGCTCGGGCTGGAGGAGGCTGGCGTGTGGCGGCCCGGGGGCGACGGCGAGGGCGCCCTGAGGCGGGGGCCGAGGGCCGGGACTCCCCCGCTCCCTCGGGGCTCCCCGGCCGGGCTACAGCGACGGCCGCCAGCAAGCCTTGCTCTCCCCCGGCCGGGAGCGCACAGGGCCGGGGGAGGCTCGCCCGGGGCGGGCGGCGGGCAGCGAGCCCAGTGGCCGGCCCTTACTCAGCTCCGGGCCCTCGCTCCGGACTGGGCGCCCGAGCGCTGGCGCCGCCTCCGACTCCTCAGCCGCGGGCAGCAGCGGTTCCTCCGCGCGTCGGCGTCCGGTGAGCGCCCGGGCCCAGGCGCCCCCTCCGCTCGGCCCCCGCGCACGCCGCCGCGCTCCGCCCTGCCACAGAGCCCCGGCCGGGCGAGAGCGGCTCCACATCCGGGGACTGCCGCGCCCAAGGCCGGAGCGGCACCTTCTCTGGGGCGCAGGGAGTGGAGGGGGGAAGGCGAGCCTCCGCCGAAAGAGGGTGGGAAGGGTTTCGGAGAGTCTCGGGATCGGGAAAGAAAAGAGAAGGAAGCCGATCTCTAAGCGTCGCCCCAAGGCGCAATGGCAGTGCGCACGCGCGCCGTCCGGGAGAAGGGGTGGGAGACCCAACGCAGCCTGAAGGGACGAAGGGGTGGGTCTCTAGAGTGGCCTCCTGATGGTACGCCGCGCCCCATTGGCTCTGAAGGAAGGGGCGTGGCTGGTGTGGAGGTGGAGCTGGAGGAAGCGAAGACGAAGTTGCCAACCCGCTTTCAAGACTGTGCCGCAGGGGGTCGGTCTTACACAGCAGTGCTCCCAGGCGTCAGGAGTTTAAATGTGGGGATCCCTACTACTGGCTTAGTCGTCTGTGTTAACGGGGGCGGGAATAGCACAGACCCTAGCACAGATTAAAGGTGATGTGGAGTTTCGTATGTATAAACTGCGAATATTTCTAACGAGAGAATGATACTGAATCCTGGTAGCCACCGTAAACCCTGCTGGAGGTGTCTTTATGCAGACTTTGCCCTTTAATAACCAGCCCTACCCAGGCAGAACTCAGCCCCTACTGGCGAGATACGATCCGGAAACAAGAAAATACCAATTATGGAGTCTCAAATGGCAAATAAAGCTAATTTTAGTGTTGGGGGGTGTTTTTGTTGTTTTGGTTTGGTTTTGGTTTTTTGTGGGGTTTTTTGGTACCGGGTATTGAACTCGGGTCCTTGCGCTTGCGCAGCAGGCAGCAAAACCACTGAGCTAAATCCCCGGCCCTGTTGTTTTGTTTTGTTTTGTATTGTGTTTTAAAATAGGATCTCATTATGCACCCTAGGCTGGCCTTGAACTCGCAGTGATCTTTCTGCCCCAACCTACCAAGTACTGGGAGTACAAGCGTGCGCCACAGCGTCTAGCAATTTTAGAGATTTAACACAATTAAAATTTGCTCAGAATACAGAGAGTAAATGTCTAAATTGTGTTTAAAAATGTTTTCAACCTGGAAATTTTAAATGTGTTATTGTGCACTTTTAAATGAGCCTGGTTGGTACTGCTTAAGTAACTTATCCAGGACTATAGAGCTACTCAACTGTTCCTAATCAGTTCAGGACATTCTTAAGTATTTCTGCTGTACCAATTCTTCTGACTCTCTCTGAGGTCTTCTCTAGATTCTTTCTTTCCCTGTTAACCACTTAAATTGATTACTGGATTAGTACATAGACTTTTAACAAAGATTTTTAGAATAAAATATGGCTACTGTTAAGAGCTACACAGGTATTTGTGATTGACTTTGTTAAGTAAGTTAATTCAAGTAAAAGCAGCTGAGATGTCAGACACTTAACAGTGTAACCTTGCATTTTACATCAAATATATCAGGAATGGATTTTTACATGTCTGATTGTGTTCAACTTACCCAGGCATTTTATATTTATAAAATTAACAACCACCAACAAAATTGGCAGACCAGCTCTGCTAGAGTGAACAAGAAAAAAGAAAAGTCCCAAACAACAACTAACACTCAATATGTAAATTAGGAAGAAAGAAAATCTGGGAAAATAATTGGTTTTAAATACATATCTAGGGTTTCAGGTTAAATGTATACCAAAAAATTTGTTGAAACCCTAACCCCCAGCACTTGTGACTGTGACCTTATTTGGTTGGTTTTTGTTTTTTGTTTTAGCAGTGACAAAGTGTATTTGAAAAAGAAAAAGTTAAGAGTGAGGGAGAAACTGGCTCTGCAGAACGAGCTTGGGCCAAGAAAAAGAGGAAAAAGCAAAATAAAAGCACACCCTGGAGGAGGCAGGGCAGACTATCATGAGGAAAGCCATGATAGTCCTTATTTGGATTTTTTTGTTTTGATTTTGATTTTTGAGACAGGGTCTCACTGTGTAGTTTGGGCTGGTCTTGAACTCAGTAGGTAGCCCAGGCCGACTTCGACCTCACGGTGATCCTCCTGCCTCAGCTTCCTTTGTGCTGAGATTATAGGCATGGGCCATCATGCCCGGCATTTTGACCTTATTTGGCAATAGGGCTTTTGCGGATGTAATAAATTGAGATGAGGTCATACTGGAGTAGCGTGGACCCTAAATCTGATGACTAGACTCAGATCTGAGAAAAGACAGTGAAGATACACCACTGTTTCTACTAGGTGAAAGCAATATGCTTGTGATATTTGTCAAGTGATATAAACAAAGTGCATTTTCAGACCAACATTTACAATAGCTAGAGATGCATAGGGTAGGTATTTATTTGCTCCAGTAAAGAGGTCTCATCTAGAACAGCAGCAGCAATTGAAACTGAATAAGTGTATAGCAGTACACAGGACCCACCTTCCTTTGCAAGCTAAATAAGCATGTTAAATAAGCACATTATAGAAATCACTCTCACTGCAGTTTGCAAGTCTTTGATGTTGGCACTCCCTGTAATTCCCCCAGGATGTGGTATTGCTTTGAGTTTGCTTTTTGGTAGGAAAAGAGTAGTTACAGGGTTCCTAGTCAGACTTTCTTACTGTAATGTCTCATTCCACAGATTGGGAGCCAACATGCATATTAGTCCAATTACCAAGTATGTCAATGCCACCTGTGCATTCAGAAACTACGGAAAGCGGGATATGGTAGTGCACACCTGTAATCGCAGCCTTGTGGGAGGCTGAGGCAGGAAGATTGCAAGGTCTAGCCCAGCCTGGGCAACTTAGTGAGACCTTGTCTCTTAAATAGGAAGAAAAGAGAAGAAAGGGCTGATGATATAGCTCAGTTATAGAGTACCCCTGGGGTTTAATCCCCAGTATGTACCACAAAAAGAAAAAAAAATTCCTAGAGAAGTTAACTGTAGTTTCAGCGCTTAGGAAGTGGAGGCAGGAGGATCACTTGAGCCCAGGAGTTTGAGAACAGCCTGGGCAACATAGTGACACCTGGCTAAAATAAATAAATAAATAAGCTGGGAAAGTACTGTAATGCACTGGAGCTCAAACTAGGTTCGCCACGGGACTCCATAACCAACCTCTCTGACCAATAGACTCCAGCAACTTCTTGGACCCCATGGTGGTTAGCCAGTGGCTAGGAATTTCTAAGAGAGCAAGTTGCCTTTCCCTACTTCCCTTCACTCTGGAAAGTGGCCTCTGGTCCCTTTTGGAGAGAAAGGCCAGGAGGAGGAGAATTACAGGTAAACGTTGGCCTCGGCCTTCTTCTGGACCCCAAGTAACTTCTGCCCAGACACCAGGTAGAAGGCCACGACCATACCACAATGACCCGGGCCACTGTCTGCTGACCAGAGCTGAGTTTTTCTGACTGTACAGATCAGAAATTGCTGAAGTGCATGTAGCAACCGTTGAATTCATAGCCACCACCAAAGAACTCTGGGACTTGACCCTGTTTGCTCCTACCCTGTCACCCGAGTTGCTAACTGCATTCACCTGGTCTTGGTGGTTTTGCATCTGGCCTCTTGTTGGTCTGGATAGAAATCAAAGAACACATCACAAAACAAAACCTCACCCATCAGCCCTGCCTGCAGGTGAGCTGCATCAGTGAGCTTTTGAAAGATACTGGCATGCCAGGCGTGGTGGCACATCCCAGCACTTGGGAGGCTGAGGCAGGAGGATCACTGTAAATTCCAGGCCAACTTCGGGTCCATAGTGAGTTCAAGGCCACCCTGAACTACATAGCAGACCCTGTCTCAAAACAAACAAACAGAAAACAAAAAAAAAAGATACTGGCAATTCCTTCTCTACTGCATGCCCCAGTGTCTGTGTCTTGTTAAGAATGTCTTGGGGGGGCAGGGGCAGGGATTTAACTAAGTGGTTCCAAGGCCTGCCTTGCAAGCACAAGGTACTGAGTTTGATCCCTGGCAACAACAAAAAAAGAATGTCTTTGGGGACAATTTTTCTGCTCCCTAAGCTTTTGAGTCCCCTCTTTGAAATTACACCAGGGTTTTGAGTCCCCTCTTTGAAATTACACCAGGAATGGTAGGAGATGTGGCTTAGTGGTAGAGTGTTTTCCTAGCAGGTACAAGGTCATGGGTTTGATCGACAACACCACACACACACACACACACACACACACCATACCAGGCCTGTTTTGGCACCTCAGCCCACCAAAAGCAAGCTACCATTTCAGTCCAGTTTTCAGTGAACCACTCGCTGTGTGGGCTACACATTATATCTGAAAACTCTAGTCAGTGTTCCCATGTTGACCAGTTCACCCAAGCACATTGTTAAGTGCTGCTTTGGTGTGGTTTCGTTTTTCTTTGTCTGTCACTTCTAGAATCCATGCCCACACATATCCTCAGTCCTCTGGCAGTACATATTTGCAAAATTTTGCAGTGGCATAATTATC